TTATCCCAAATGTTTCCAACAAGGTTTAATCCCAGAGAAATCTGTCATTTCATCAGGTAACACTGTGTTTCCTTCGTGCTTCTAGTTTCTCTAAATCGGACTGAATGTAACATGAATAAAACTTTGATTTATCTCGTCAGTCAACAATTTTCATCAACAATGGTCGTTGTTTAACAATATAAACAACAACTCCCATGATCCAATGCTACTTCATGACAACGTCAAAGTACTTTTGTTTTTTTAATGTGAGAGACAGAAATGACAGAATCAATACATATTATGTGTTTAAATTAAATGTTAACTTCATGGTGTTTTTATCGGTGGAACAGGCCACCTCCACTTTAGTAGAGGATAATAGACCGGATGAACTGTGGAGCTCTTTTAAATCTTGTCTCCAGGAAACACGAGGATCCCCATGCTGTGAAGAACTGATATACTGTACCGACCCCCCCCAAATCAAAATATTAATAAAAAATATATATATAAAATGTTGACATCAGCATGCTAACACTGATATATTATGACAGTGCTATAGTGACAGTGCTAACATGCTCACAAGGACAGTGCTAACATGCTCACAATGGCAATGCTAAGAAAGATGGTTGATTTTTAAGTCTCATGGGTGTCAAATACAGACACTTGGGGCCCTGGGAATGACACTAAATCAACTACGTTCTAGGCTGCAACCTATATCATTTTTATATTTTTTTTGACTGTGATTGGTTGCTTTCGTTTAGGCACAGTGGATTCTTGCAAATGTCATTAGGAGCACTAGGAGAAGCCAGTAGGAACCTGTTTTTTTCACCAAGATTATCTGTCTCATGGTACTACTGTCAGGATTATGAGGGAAAGTGTTCAGCAATTATGACAAAAAGTTGTTTTTAGAAAAGTTACCTACTGCAGCTTTAATTTCGAACCCTGAGTGCAAGTAATGCCATGTAAATATTACCTTGCCAGATGCCAATTACCTGTGTCTTTGCGGTTAGAATAGCACAACATAGTTGTGACATTGATTGACATTGAGAAAATATCTTGTCTCCCCTCTTTCTGTGTAACAGGTCACCTCTCAGCATTGAGTGCCACCCTCTCCTGTCATCTTTGCTTAAACCTGGCAACCCCCCTTCTTGTGAGTAGCTGTGGCCAAGGACTCTCCTCCATCCTATCGTCGGTGGACCACAGTGGAAAAGGTCAGCTCTTTTTCCCAAATAGTGAAATATTTGAGGCGATATCAGTAGAATATTCGTTGCAGAATTCCTGGCTGCTCCTCTCGGCTGTGCGGTGTTGTTTATCTACCTGTGTTCCTGCCTCCTGGCTAGATGAAAGCAAAGTGCTGGCTGCTGCCTGCCTTCCAAGGTCAGGTCACTCAGACCTTGTTTAGATGTGAATGATGCTTTGGGTGAATTCAGAGCAGAGGCGGTGGGTGCTGTTATCCCCTGCTTTCCAGTATAATGAGGTATATGTGTGTGTGTGTGGAGAGTGGAAGGTTGGTGACCCTTGTGCTGTCTGGACCACAATGATGAATGAGACTGTTAGAGTGGAGGTGTGAGATTTGACTGTGGATTTCTTTACCATCCGACAAATACACACACACTTTACATTACTCCTGCATGAATCTGTACATGTGGATCTTGCTTTCTTTGTCCTCCTTGAAGTATCATTTACAGCCAGCACATTACTTTTCTCCTTCCATTTATTCCCCATTGTGTCTGGGAGCACGTACCATTTGAAAGTGTTTCGATGCAGATGCCAGTATGATGCATGAGTTTCAGTACTGATGCCAAAACAATGCTTTTTCACTATCTTGCACTCGGAATAACTTGGAATAAAATAAGCAAAACATCTCAAATATATAAAATGGATGCAAATATCAGTAATTGTAGATAAAATATAGTATCAAATTGTGATTTAAATCAGGTATTATCTAATCTAAGATTGAACAAACATAACATGACAACAGTAACAGTTTTCACCAGGGCTGGACTACAGCTCCAAGTATCAAAAAGATGGCTGGCACTGAATATCTGGGCCAGTATTTATTAAGTTCCAGAGAACAAAATCAGTCCTAAATCAGGCGAAAAATCTCTAAACCTAAGACATGACTTTTATCTCAATATTCTAGTCAGCACTGATGTCCATGTTTTCTAACATGTTAGGAGTTGCCAGGTAATGGCATATAGGCAGTCACTCTGTGGGAGGAGGATGTTTTGGCAGTGCTAGACAATGATGAGCTTATTAAAAGATGGTCAGAGAGAATTTGAATTATTTTTGTGACTGCCAGAATTCAAGGTTATTATTGTTTTTTGGCAAAACCCCGGCTTTGCAACAGTGATGATTTGGATCAGGAACAACTTTGGCAGTTATAAATCAAATTTTGATTGCTTGGCACTCCTCACATAATGCATGTTTCATGCAACTCATCACCATTCAGTGGAAAATACAGCTGCATTCACATGAATTGCTGTTGTATTTACAGTTGAAAGCAGAAGTTTACATACACTGTATAAAAAGACACATAATCTCTTTTTTCTCTGTCTGACATTAAATCAGATTAAACTTTTCCCCTTTTAGGTCAATTAAGATTACCAAAATTATTTCTATTTGCTAAATGCCAGAATAATGAGAGAATTTTTTTGACAATGTTTTTATTACTTTCTTGAAAGTCAGTTAACATACATTTCATTAGTATTTGGTACCATTGCCTTTAAACTGTATGACTTGGGTCAAAACGTTTTGGATATCCTTCCACA